GTTTCTGCCAACAATACCTTTGTATCTTCTTCTTTTTTTGTCATTTTACCCGAAGAGTAGCTTACAGTTTGACAAACAGCACTATCCTGCATATAAATTCTAGGGCCAATGTGCCATCTTTCCATGCCAAGTCCAGCGAACATAAAACTGACCTAATCACAGATAGAACAAATGCTTTGCAGCCTCATAGTTCATGAAGTAGTAATTCGAAGTAGTCACTCGTGCAATGTAAAATTAGCATAACATTGTGTAAGAGCTATATACATTATGTTATGCTAGGAATGTAAAATTGGCAGACTTGCAAAGCAAGACTCAGAATATGAAACTCATACAAATATCACCTATAGGGCTGATTGAATTGCCTTCACTGCCATCACTGTCACTCTTCCTCCTCCCACTTTCGCATTCCCGCTCGCAATGGTGAAATGTTGCTGCTCCCGTTAGACATAGAACATTCAGCATGTTCGCTTGCTCGTAAACGATCGTAAATTTCCAGCCGGGAACAGTGTTTTTCTCTCACACCAAACCAGCCAGCAGTAAATAATCCACGATACGATACGGCCTCCCGAACAGGCTGATTATCTGCTCCCCTTTTTGCCTTCTCCATTTTATCTACTCCTCATTTCGCCTTCTCCATTCACTTGGGCTCAAAGCACCTCAGCTGAAGTGAGCACGTCACCAGCTTCATCTTTTACATTTACGTCAGCAATTTCATAATCCATGGCCACCTGAGTCCGTGAGGCGTGTTTTCAGCGGGGAACAGTAAATTCCGGCTGAACTTCATACCATCCGAACGGCCCCCATATCATCCTGATTTGGTGAGTTGACATTGAACTACGAACTAAAGTCCCTTGTCGCGAGGCCATGTACTGGGACATCCATTATCATTGTAAAAACAAGAATGTCTGCATTATGTAGCTACAACCTGCGTCCCTGTGGCCATAGGAGCTACTAGTACCAGCCACATAAGCCTCTGGGCAATGGCAAGAACGAGAACAGGAAACAGGCATGGGACCCCTACCAGCTGCAGACACCATCTCTTACCCTCGTTATGGCTTCCAATGCACGGAGAACAACTACTTGGAGTCTTGGACATAGGTTTTAGCTTCCTACTGTAAAAAAGAAGAGTGTTTTGCTACCACAACGACGGTGCCACAAGCGGAATCCTTGAAGTTTCTGCTCCTGGAGAGAATGACGAGTGGAGATCTCATTTGTCATTGGCTACATGAATGAATTTGAGGGCTTAAATTTGGGTGCTGCTGTTGGTGTAAAAGCAAAAAAAATTAGGCCAATAAGCCCAAACCGTAAGTCCAGCGCACCAAATCAAAACACGTAGAGGGGCCTGCTGATTTGGGTGCATCCCTAATTATTTGCTAGAGTTGCTTGCTTTGTGGTGGCAACTACAAAAATGGCTGAAAATTTATAACCAAGCAGCTCAGCTTGGAGGAGATCCATTCAATTTTGTACAAATATATACTAACATAATGCAATTTAATGGAATTATTACAGCGATTCAAAATTACATTCGGTTTCTGCCAACAATACCTTTGTGTATCTTCTTTTTTTTTATGTCATTTTACCCGAAGAGGGGATCCGTAGCTTACAGTTTGACAAACAGCAATATCCTGCATATAAATTCTAGGGATAAATGTGCCATCTTTCCATGACCAAGTCCAGCGAACATAAAAAGATCTGACCTAATCACAGATAGAACAAATGCTTTGCAGCCTCATAGTTCAAGAAGTAGTAATTCAAGTAGTCACTCGTGCAATGTAAATTAGTAAAATTAGCATAACATTGTGTAAGAGCTATATACATTATGTTATGCTAGGAATGTAAATTGGCAGACTTGCAAAGCAAGACTCAGAATATGAAACTCATACAAATATCACCTATAGGGCTGGAGGATGAATTGCCTTCACTGCCATCATGACTGTCACTCTTCCTCCTCCCACATGAGTGTTCCCGCTTGCATGGATGATTTTAGCAATGCTGAAATGTTGCTTTAGGGAATCCCCAAGGGCTTAGACATAGAACTAGGACATTGGCGGTGTCTGCTCCAATACTAACACTTTTTTTGTCCTTTTGGTGTAACCTTATTTTATCATGTTGTATAAATTATCTTAACTATTTCTCCATTCACTTGGGTTCAAATCAATAAAGGTACCTCAGTGTCCTTCAAAGAGTAGAGTTCTTGGGAGGATGGCATCCAGCTGGATTCTCAGAGGGCTATACCACTATTGAAGGATAATTCAGCCCCAAAGTCATTACAACATAAAGATTCCATATCGGTTTCAGTATTTTATGGGAGACAGAGGGCTGCAGATAAATTATTTGGTAAGTGGGATGATTGTTTTGATTATTTGTTTAGATTCAAGGCCTGAGGTCTCCTGGGTGAGTTGACATTGAAGGCTTCACTTAACTTTGTCCTTCAAAGCAAGTATAGATGGATTTAGAGATGGCCTATATGAGGATTCCCTATATTATGTTTGACATCCATGGAAAATAACCTGAAAAAAAGGTTTAGATAGAAGTGCTTGAACTTATCAAGTACCGCCAGTGAAAGGGCATGCAAATATGAAGAAGTTCAATAAATTTGGACATCATTAGCCTATCCGAATCTTCCATGGTTGAAGGAACATCCTGAAGCCATTCTGGGCACAACAAAAGAGATTCAAGTGTGACTTCATAAATAACAATTTGATCAAATCTTGGAATGCATGGATCCAAGCACATACTACCATTAGACATTCTAGCCGATGCTATCGATAAGACAATGGTACTTTTTGAGAATGTCAAGCATTATGTAGCTACAACCTGCGTCCCTGTGGCCATAGGAGGCTACTAAGGTACCAGCCACATAAGCCATCTATAATGATGAAGCAATGGCAAGTCTACGAGAACAGGAAATGCAGAGGGCATGGTGGCACCCCTACCAGCTGCAGACACCATCTATGGACCAATCGTTATGGCTTCCAATGCACAACAGATATGAGAATGACTACTTGGAGTCTTGGACATTGAGGTTTTAGCTTCCTCCACCAATTGGGAAGAAAAGTGTTTTGCTACCACAGGAAGAAGAGTGCCAAGGGATGCAGGAGATCCTTGTTTCAGGGTTTCTGCTCCATGAGATGATATGTGAAAGATAGCTTTTGAGATGGAACCAATGTTCTTGATTCCTATTGTAAATCGAGAAAAATTCATATCGAAAAAGGGGCCAAAGAACATGTATTTTGCATCAGAGTTGGCCTTCCACTGTCGATTTTCCCTTCACCAGCCCCAAATCCGACACCATCACCAAGGACTCCAAGAACAAGGGCGTGAAAGCCCAAACCGTGGCGAAAGTCCAAGCGCTAAATCTCGATTTGTGACTCGAACTTGCCATCCGACAACATCCGACAAACCACTTTCACAATCAAAGAGGTTGAACTTGGAAGCTCCACAACCACTTGAAATGATCATTCCAGAGGTGAATCTCCCCAAACCCCTCCACCAAGAAGATGACCCCTAGGAGGAAGCGCACCACAAAGGTGAAAAGTTCTTACGCCAAGGAAAATCGATGAAGCAATGAATCCTTGTGATCCATATTTTGGGAACTCTGTTATGTCATTGAAAGGTGCATGAACAACTTGTTATGGTATTGTAAGTTGAATGGAAAACTTGTAATGTATTGCCTTATAGGCCCCGAACAACTTGTGATGACTTTGCTAGGGTTGTGTCATGTATCAGCTTGCTATGTTTGCTATGTTTGTGTCATGTATGCGACCGAACTTGCTATGGTTGTCAAGAGCATATCGCGGTCTTGCTTGATTTTTGGATATCATGTACAAGTGAAATAACGAAACAATATTCCATTAACCATTCAACATTTTCACATATATATGCCCACCGATTGGTCGACTCATACTAAAACACAGAGCTCATTACTCAACTGAGATACAACTTGAAATAGTTCAACGGATCCCTAGTTCAACTAATGAGGCTAACAACTAGTCAAACTAACAGAGGATCCCACTAACAGAGAACACATACATAGCTCCAACCACTACACCAAAAGCCTTCATTCACCTCCATTGAGTTCTTACACTTTGCGCACGCATGCTGCCCTTGAATCGACTTCTTCCTCATCGCTGCCATGTTGTTCTAGATTCATCACAATCTTCCCCGTCCACCAATATGGCTAGGTACTCTCACGCCACTTAAAAACCTACAAGATCCTGGAACCTAATCACATGGAAACATATTTGATGTGACAATCGATTCAAAACCCTAACAAATCGGAACCCAAAGAATGTGGCTTACCCTTGCATGTTCTCGGGACATTTGAAGAAGACACGACCCTTGTTGCATTTCTCATCATCCGTCTGGGCCACGAGCTCGAGCACCCTCGCATCCCACACTCCTCGCACACATGATGAGGGGAGCCTGTCGCCTCCCGTGGGTACTCCCCCTATCCTATCCCAGTAATGCATGCGGGCGCCTATTGCGTGTTGATGAGCTCGCTCGACGACATGGCGGCTAGGGTTGGGGGAGGCAATGGAGGGGCGCCGGTGACCAAGGACGGGAGACGAGGGATCCCGGAGCGAAGGAAGAAGAAAGAAGTGCGGAGAAAGCGAGCAGATGGGAGGAGGCGTCATTGGTTAAGCAATACTTGTTAAGCGAGAATGGTCTTTAAGGCGTATTGGTCTTTTGGCTTGACGTCAACGGCCTGTTCCCTCAGCGGTGGCTGATCGGCATGCCACGCGTCAAAAAAATGGTAAAATATTAGGCGAGTTACTTATTTTCTAGAATATTTTTGTAGAATTCCACATCTGAAAGTTGGACAATCGTAGTGCAGCCCGTAAGAGTGGCAAATAATTAGATGTCCCTCGGATTCCCCCCTGCCCCCTCACACCACACCACCGGCTGCAGAGCAGAGTCGACTTCATCCAAGCTCCATTTTCTCCGAGGAAGCGAACCTTCCCTTTCCCCAGTCACAGATCCGGCTCTCCGCCGCCGCCATGGCCGCCCGCCGCCTCCTCCTGCTCCTCGCCGTTGTCGCCGCGTCCCTCCTCGCCGCCGACGCGCGGCCGTGCCACACCTTCCTCGTCGCCTTCCCCGCCGATCCCAACCCCAACCCCAGCAGAGGCGACGGCGCCGTCCGCCACCACATCGGCATCCCCCACGTCGCCACGGTCATCACTGTCTTCCGCGTCCGCCGCCTCGGTCCGCACGTCCCCCACGGCCACCGCAGCCACCACCACCTCCACTCCATTCCGGCCAACGTCCAGATCCACCGCCCCGATCTCCCGCACCCGCCGCGGCCGCGGCCGCCGGGCCCCAGGAGCGCGCCAGGGGCATCCTCGTGGTCGTCGTCGGGCTCCTCTTCGGCGTCGCATGCGGCGCGCTCACCGCTGCCTCCGTGTACCTCGTCTGGTCCATGGTCGCCGGCGCCGCCGCGGCCTCCCCGTACGACGGGCTCTATGACGACGAGGACGAGGCGTCTGACACCGAGAGCCCCAAGAAGGTCGGCTACGTCATCATCCAGGAGCTCGAGGTCCATGACGGCGGTAAGAACTAGGGCTACGTGTTGAGTGAATCCTAATGTCTGTATGACTATGTGATGCGTGGTTGTGACTTGGGTGCCTTAGGGGTTTGCCCTCCATGTGAATACGCCCGTGAAGCACGCCTAGGCTATGAAATGTGCTTGTTTCTTATGAATGAACTTATCAATCAATGTTATGCGCCGTTGTGAAATGTTCTTGTCAAACATTTATGTTTGATCTGCTGTGGTAATGTATTGTGGCCTGGCTTCGAGATCAGAGTTCTCCCTGCTTATTTTCGGCGGTTTTGTGTCCCACCAATTATAGGTGTTATATGATGACTTGTCTTTCCTGATGCACCAAAGTTTGGCTGTTCGGTTCTTTGATGATCATGTGGTTTGAGTATGCTTGTTTGCTCGTGTGTGGATTAATGATTGTGTTGGACTGAAGCGCCAGTATCTGCACTAGCTGATAGTTACTTCTAAATGTGTTGATATCTGTTTGTTTTATTAATATGTTATCACCGCCAAACTATATGATGATTTCAGTGTTCTCTGCATTGCAATATGTGAATCTTGGATTATAGTGTTGCCAACAGCCCAACGTGTTCTGATCAGGGTATATTCTGTAGCATGTTAATTGAAACATTTGACATTCATATTGTTTACTGTGCTTATGGCCATCAGCACAAAATCTGTGCAATCAGGCAGGTTTATCTGAATTAGTATTGAAATATGTGTGACAGTCATTTCCACGGTGCGCTGGTGTAGTTCTATAACAGATTAGTCATTTTGACGATGCGGAGTAGTGCTATTAGATGGTGGCTGGCCTTGATTTGCTTTGGCTAAAAGTGTTGTCTATGCTTTTGTTTGGGACTGGCATAGGAAGTTTGTGGTGGTAATGTATCTGTTTGAGCAGTTTCTGCAACCTGTTTATTTCCTCTGAAATATATGGCATGGTTCGTAACTGGGGAGTAAGTTGTACCTATATCTCTGTCAGATGTAACCATGGCATGGTTCGTCAATTTGCATTCCTAAAGCCCGGAATATGTGAGGGCTCGTTTTCAGAAACTGTTGTGTGATTCGTCAGTTTGCATTCCTAAAGCCATGTCGACAGATTGGTTTCACCGCAGAACAGACAATGTGACGCCCGTGCCCTCGCACAACGCAAGTTGTGTGTCACCACTGTGTGCATCAAATACAGACCAACCGTGTAGTTCTGCTCGATAGGTGTCGCTGCAAAAACAATTCAGGATTTCATATTAGCAGTTGCTATAACGCTACTATTCCTTGTTAATGCAACGCCAGTAGTGAACAGAACGCCATACTGGACAAATGTTAGGACTCGTCGTGACGAAATGCAAGTGCTGTCAGTGTTCTGTGTATCCTAGCTTTTTTCCAAACAGCTTCACACGTATTTCATTAAAAGGGTGTATCCTGGCTTTTAGAACATCTCCAAAAGTTCCTAAAACTAATTTGGTTAATTAATGAATTTTTTTAAATCGCTAAACAATAGGAAGTATATTTGTTGGCTTTCTCTAACCATTTCTAATATACGGTTCAAAGCTAGGAAAAGATAATTTTATATTAGGAATCCTAGACTATCTCCAAATCACTCAACCATTTTTATAGTTTTTGTTCTCTCTCCTACATTTGTCGGATTGGATATGCGGACGTTTATTTTTGCACGATTGGATTGATTTTTCAAAGTGTGGAAGATTGAGAGTTGAGATAAGAAGTCGTTGGAGAGAGATTTTTTTATTCTTACCAAATAATCAAGATTGAGAGTGGGTCACACTATAAAAGAGTGAGTTTTGGACGAAGGCTCTCCCCTTCTATAATACTCGTTCGATGAAGACGTTGGCCCTGTTCGCTTCACTGAAAAAATAAGGTGAAATATTGTTCCGACTGATTTGTTGTAAGAGAAAAATATTGTTCGGCTAAAAAACAAGCTGAAAAGTATGAATTATAAGACAAGCGAACAGAGCCGTCGTCTCATTCGAACCTTTCATCATTGGGGATGTAAGTTTTTGACACTCAAAAGTTACGGTTTTACCCCTCTCCTAATCTAAAGATTCCATTGTTTTCTCGGCCACATGACCGACTTTCCGTGTTCTGGACTCCTTATAAATAGGCGTTGACTCAACCCGATGGCACCTCAATGTGCACGCCTCCCGCTGTAGACCAATCCAAATGTCCTGCTTGCGTGATCTCGGCATCAAAAACTCATGGGTGTCTTTAGGAAATCCAATGTCCAGGTGCAGCACGCCATGACTCATGTCACGTGATCGCTTGAGGGGAAACGGAGATCGAGAATTTGCATCACATACAGGAGATACGGCGATGATCATGTTTGGAGGCCGCAAGATTTATTTCTGACTTGTATGTACTCCCTCCGTCCTAATTAAAGTCGTTCTAGCATAGGACGCGGCTACCAATACTGAAGGAAAAATACCAACGCACCCCTATTCTAGTAATGCCCGTTCTCCTGCTCTCCTCGTCCTTAGGCTCCATCCAAAAAATTTTGAGATTTTGGCTACTGTAGCATTTTCGCTTTTATTTGATAATTAGTGTCTAATTATGGACTAATTAGGTTTGAAAGGTTCGTCTCGCGATTTATCACCCAACTGTGCAATTAGTTTTTTTTTCGTCTACATTTAGTACTCTGCATGTGCCGCAAGATTTGATGTGACGAGTACTATACAAATTTTTTTGGCTTTTGAGTGACATCTAAACGGGCCCTTAGTCATTGAATGAGCTCACTGCAGGCTACTACGAGTTGCTGCAAGCTACAAAGCTGCATACTCGTGCTGCTCAGACGGTCTCCAACGATATAACCCAAACACAACAGCCATTTCTTTGATTTGGGTGCTACACAGTAAAAAGAATCCACACTCAAAATTTATCTTCTCCAACAGACGACCCAAATCACTGTACACCGGTAAACATATCTCCTCTCCCCTCGTCACTTCTCTTCCCCTCCCTCCCTCTTCCTCCCGATCTCCCCTTGCCCTCTCTCTCTCTTCCTCGCTCCTCGCCGGCCAGATCCGCGCCTCCTCCCCTCATGGGGGGGAGGCTCATGGTGGCGGGAGGCGGGGCGCCACGCCGGGCGGGCTCAGGCCAGGCTGGGCGGCGGCTCTGGGCTGGCTCTGGGCCTCGCCTGCAGGCCAGGTGGCGGGCGGCGGGGCCCAGATCCACACGACCCGCCTCCTCCTCGCCGCACCGGAGCGGGGCAACACGCGGGAGGTGGTGGTGGGCCGCCAGCCAGGTGGAGGCGGGCACACGCCGGCCGGGGCTACTTGCGAGGCAGTCAGTCAACGCGCCGCGGCCGATCCCGTGTGGAGGAAGGAGATGGCGGAGGTGAGGAGGATGGCGTGGCCGAGGTGGAGGCGGGCCGCGCGCCGGGGCAAGCTTGCCACGCTCGTCGGCGGGGAGGTGGGCCGCAGCGTGGGGCAGGGCGCTGCGCCACTGCAGCTCTGACGGGCCCACCACTACATGTTTGCGTCGTCTCTCTTCGAAGACGCAGAAATGCCTTCGGAATCGCCGAGTACCCAGAATGCGTACGTGGTTTCGGTCTTTCGTTGGAGGATGATTTTGGCTACCCAAAACACTGTGCAGGACGCATTTTGCGTTTTGGTCACGCCGTTGGAGACAGTCTCAGGTGTAGGACCGACGTCTAAAACGTCATTTTTACTAGGACATACTTTAAATGCTAAAACGACTTGTATACTAGGACGGAGGGCGTAAGTTGTAACATGGGATCGACTCGCACATTTTTTGAAAGACCAGCCACCCTATCACACTAAAAAAGCGTCATCCGGTAAAGTGTCTCTTGTTAGGATGGAATGGATGTTCATGAATTTTGAATCTCATTAAGATAATCATTTAGTTTGTCTGTCGTAATATTTGTGCGTGCCACTTTGTATAGATGTTTTTCGATAGATATGTAGGTGCCACACGCATATACTTGCTAGTTTTGGAAACAAAGCTGCTGTGCACGGTCCACCAGTGCATAGGTGCGATCCACTGGTCCGGCTTTTTTGATGGGCTCGATGCGGCTTGGCCTACGAAGGCCCGCTCGTGGCCTATCGGGCATTTTATCCTCCGTGGTGTCTGCTACATGCCCCACTGCTCTCCCCCCGTCCCCCGTCCCCCGTCTCCCACAAACCCTACCGCGCCGCGCCAGTACCGCCGCCACCGGTTTCCCTCTGCGCCGCCAGCGCGGGAGAACATCCCGCCAGGCACGAGCGGGATGGAGGAGGAAGCGCCACCTGCGCCCACGGCGGACAGCACCCAGGGCGCTCCGGTGCTTCCCACGGAGCTCGTCACGGAAATCCTCGCCCGGCTGCCGGCCAAGTCGGTGGGCCGCTTCCGCTGCGTCTCCCACGCGTGGCTCGCCATGCTCTCGTCCGCCTATTTCGTCGATCTCCACTTGCGGCGAGCCAATCGGCCGGACCACCCCAGACTGCTCCTCACAGCGGTAGGGTCCGCCTACGACGACCATCTCCACTCGTGGCGGCCCGGTGGTGCTGTCCAGAAGCTCATGCCCGACGATTTATCGGATGGGATAATCGTGCCTCTCACCAGGCCTTGCCGTGGCCTTATCCTCGTTCGCGGCACCGACTACAACGGGTACTTCGTCTGCAATCCTTCCACTGGTGACGTCCTGCCTCTCCCAGATACCAAGGCGACGATGAAGATGATCTGGCGGGCTAAATTGTTTCAGTCCCATCCGCCGCCGCACTTCTTTGAGGTATCTTACGGCCTTGGTTACTGCAAAGCGAGGAAGGAATTCAAGGTGGTGCGTTTGTTCTGCAACCCTGAGAGTGAAACTGGAATGGCAAGCTCCACAAGCTGCGACTTGTTTGTGCTCAACAAGCCTGCATACTGGAGGCCAGCTGGTGAACAGCCTCCTTTGTGTTGGGTGGAGGAGAAGAAACCGGCTGTTTCCTTAAATGGGTATCTGCACTTCCTCTGCCGAGATGGTGGCATTGTCACTTTCAGTATCAGCAATGAGACCTTTGGTTCCTTGCCACCACCGTTAGGTTTCGAGCCTGCACCATCTGTGATGACAGAGCTGGATGGATGCTTATGCCTGTGCTATGGAGAACCAGATAGTGAAGATCTTTATCGTGTATGTGTCCTACGAGATTACAATGAAGCCCGCTGGGAGACGCTGTGTTGCATTGATCGAACCTCTTGGCCAGACTCTGAGCGCACGCTCCTGGACTCGCTCTGGATGGCCCCGTTAGGCATATATTACTCAGATGGTGAACAAAAGATCATGTTCGGGACAGGTTCTTGCAAGGTGTTTGCGGTGGACCTAGATGGTAATGCCCCACAAATTTTATTCACTCCAGATGAGACCATCATTGGCTGTTGTGAGGATGACAATATCCCAGCACTAGGTCTGTATGAGGAGAGTCTTGTCCCTGTGGGCTGCACAATTGAAGAGATAATTTCCTCGTCACCAACAACTGAAGCCTGGTTCAACATCCTCAAGTGGCTACCGCCACGCTCTATTTTGGAGTTGAGCTTGGTTTGCAGAGAGTGGCGTGCAATGATCATGACAGATCACTTTATCCAATCACATGTTATTCACGCAAACTTGAATAAGAGCCCTAGGATCATGTTCATCATGGATCCCCGCTTTGGTTCCTATTGGGATCTAGAGAAATTCACTGATGAACAGAGACCGCACATGTTTGCTAAACTTGTATGTTCCCCCCAGCCTGTCCATGGCCTTAATGTGGGGAGCTGTGCTTCCTGGGATTTCATATGCAATCCTGCCATAGGGTATTGTAAGCACATATCTTTTGATGATAATGATGGAACCTTGTTTGCTGGCCGTATTGGGTTAGGATATGATTCAGAGATTAACAAGCATGTTGTGGTGCATATTACCTACAAAGAGAAGAACCTGGAAACAAGATATTATGAGCTACAATGCAAAATGCAATATGTTAATGATGAGCAATGGCGTCAAGTAGACCCTCCTCCTAGACCTGTAAGTGCCACCCCACCTGCTTTTGTCAGTGGCAAGATTTACTGGTTGGTAGAACCAAATCTTGGACCAGTTTCTGCAACATGTGAAATCGTGTCATTCAATGTCAAGACAGAGGAATTTGAAGTCCTGAAAGGTCCACCATGCAGCCATGACTGTGGGCAAATGACCATCCTCCAGCTTCAGAGTGCACTTTGTGTGGCTTATTCGGATCAGAGTGTGAACACAATTGATGTATGGATGATGAAAGATTGTGACCTCTGGTTAGTGGAGTATCACATAGAGCTTGAGAAGTTCTTACCAGATTGCTCGTTGGAGAACACTACACCGTTGGCTATTGATCCAAAGGATGGACGGATTTTGCTCAATGCAGGTTGGTCATTAGGCTACTATGATCCCAAGACGGCAGAAATTGAAACCATCTACAGCATGAACATCTTAGATTATAGCTACAAATTGTGCTCTATTATCTGCCATGAAAGTTTGGTGTGGCCGTTTAGTTTAGCCCGTCATAATCTTGGGGTAGGTGCACTCCTACTTTGTAAATACTTCTTAGGCTGCTTTAAGCTTTTTGTCTTATTTGAAGGAATTCACAATCATCAATGACTTCAACTTTAATTGTATCCTAAAAAAAAAATACTTTCCAGTATTCTTAATTATAGTCATGGAACCTTAGCTCTAGTTCTCTAAGCATCTCCCATCTCTTTACACAACTTTGACTGACTTTGCAATGGTTGTGTAAAAACTCAACTTGGTAGAGGATGAAAGTAAGTTTATCTTTTTCATGAAACCTATCTTCATTGTATTGGATGGTATGAAGGATGAAACTTTCAGTGTTTGAGTTTCTTTGAGCACTGGTTATTCAAATAATGCAAATTGTTAAACCAAACAGTTATGGATAAATCATTTGGAGTCAGCATTAATACCTTAAAACTTGATGAGTCTGGCTGTATGTATGCAACAGGTATGCACGAAAAATACAAAACAGTACCATGTGGACTTCTGAGGATCTGAATTGAAATAAATTTGACGAGTCTGGAAATATGTATGCAACAGTCATGCACAAAGAATACAAAACAATACCATATGAGATTGGAACTGATACTGTTGAAAACAATTGATCGAAAGATATGATCTTTGGATATGAGTTGAGCCAAGGACTTCATTTGGCAAACTTGAAGGTTTCATATGGATGGTCACTAGTATGGCCAATGCCCATATCTATTTTAACCAATTGTTTAGTTCTTTCGATCCTACCTTCAGTTTGACTTATATTAGATTTGTCCTTCGTAGGAAGCTGAGCCTAGCTCAGTCGGTTGAGAGTGTGGTTGTCTGCCTAGACCACCTAGGTTCAAGTCCTTGTTGAGCAGAATTTGGTGCCTATTTTCTTCTTAACACAAACCTTGCAAACCACCTAATTCCTCCTTGGTTGGTCTAATTTTTTTAGAGTTGTCCTTTTTCTATCTATATCTGCAAATGGAGCCAGTTTTTGTCGTTCTTTCTTGACCTGCAAGTAAATTTTCCATGGGTTAATGGAACATTTTTATTTAGCTAGCATACTTATGAAAGTCATTGCTATTACAGACTGTCTTTCATCCCTTATTTCCAAATTCTAACTCCCTGCATCGGTTTATTTGTATGGCACAGAAAGCGAGGGCAAAGTACTGGTGGTGATGCTACATAGATGAACTGACGTGGGTCGCCTGCTTGCCTCATATATCTCATCATGATCCCATTTATCCTTGGTCTTTCCTTATGCGAAAACTTGTAATCTCAGCAAGAATAATCGGTTTGAGTAATTATCTTGTTGAGTGCTTTGAGCAAGATTACTTTTAGTTCCAAAAGTTGAATGTCCGTCCAAGGACAGTCAGGGATAAGAGAATGGTAACCTGATAGTTCCACAAAAGATGAGTAAAATTTGCATACAGTTCGATGACATCTGGCTTGTTTGGTTTCTCTTAAAGTCCTTGCTGAGCCCTGATTTTGAAGTCTATCTAGTCTTTTGTTCATTTTGGAAGTAGCTACTTCCGTTTTTGTCTATCTTTTATTATGGAAGTAGCCTTTTGTTGACATGTCAGCCTTTCACCTTTGTTTGACACATGTTTTGATTTTGAAAACTTGGACCAACGTAAGTTTTTGTGGTAGCTGTGGTCGATTGTTCAGAACTTATATCTGAGGAAGCTATTATTCATGAAAATTATTATATTCATGATTTTACTCTTATACAACAGCAATGAAGTGAAACATCGGTCAACACTCTTGAAGTGAAGCGGTAAGTCCACATCTTAGTTATGGTGTGGCTATAAAATAAAGCTGGAGTTCGGGGATTTTCTTGATTGGTTTCACTAAAAGTAGCTTCTTAGTGCACTCCCCATCCGCCAAGGTTCTTTTACAGGAGAAATGAAGTAGCTTAGGGCATTCACAGCTAAAATTCTCCAATGGAGATAGAACAGACAGAGTACGGAATTTCTTGTATTACTAGGGATAATAAAATTCTCAGAAGTAGATTTTTTTTTTAAGTTATACTCTTATCAAACCAGGGCCATGCCCAAGTCATGTTCCACATGTAAGCTTGTGATCAGAACATTATGCAGATCTAGTTACACATTATATCTTAAATAATTTCTAACTGCACAACTCAAGCTAAATTTCAAGGTAATCATTGTATATTTATCAGTATCAGGAGAGCGATCATGACAACCATTATGGGACCGTGTCTGAGCACATTATAAGTCACACACTCTTCTTGCGACCGTGCCTGAGCACATGTTTCGTCAGAGGAAGAGATTTACAACAACATAACTTCAAGAGAACCCCGAAGCGCAAAGATAAGAGCACTACCACATAGCTTGTGGGGACACAAGAACGCAATGCTAGAACATACACAAAGAAACCGACCACCTCAGCTCCAAACACAACAAAGGAAGTAAAGTTCTCCACCAGACTAATCCTAAAAGTGCAGCTGACCCTATCATAGGTTTTGGTGAATTAGTGACAATGCAAAATTGCAAATAAAGAACTAATGAGATATGAAGCAATGTAGTGAACAAGCATTACAAAAACTGCAAATGACCCATGCAAATCCCCAATTCTTCAAAGAATGATCACTACAACAAATGAACAACTTGGAGAGAAGATGTTAAAAGACCCCAACCATGTATACAAGCTTAGCAATGCACTATATGGATTAAAGCAAACCACCTAGAGCATGGTATGAGGTTCCACGTACCTTTCCTTTAGGACTTTCTATTTTTCCACCATCCGATCTCTATCAATGAACAGTCCATATTTTTTCCAATTATTATAAAACTTGTAATAGAACCACAGGGAACACTTAAAGTTTCTTGTTAGGCACGCTTCTATACTAACCTAAACAATCAAGCAATAGTGGTTTCGATATACTCAACTAAAACATGCAAGGATTTGTGCTAACAAGGAGGGGAAAAAATACCATCCTATGATATCATGTTAGTATTAGCAGGCATAACAACGCAGCACCACGAAAAAATATGCAACCAGCTGTTACACTTTTATGGGACGCGTTTGTGTTCGCGAGGTTGCTCTGTCAAAGTTTAGTATATTTGTACGGAAAGAAAACATGACATGATATCAAAGTTGTATCCAGAAACTAAAACGACGAATAAATCTATTCAAATAAAACAACGAAAAGGTTTCGATCAATTAGAGGCGAGCATAGTTTGATCTTCTCTGCCAGTAAGCCATGGTTCTCCCGGCCTGCTTGCCAGTTTCCTCATCTTCATGGCAGCAGCCTTAAGTGTGTCGTCGCCCTTGCAGAATGCAAACCTGACATACCGGTGACTGTAGCTTTCACCGTCATAAGTCTTGTGGAAGAACCCACGGCCAGGCACGGCAGCCACACCAGCATCGTTGATCAACTTCATCACAAATTCTATCTGAATTGCATAGTGCACAAAAGAAGGACCAATTAGCTGTTAGGATTTATCTTGTCATATTAGGTAATATTAGTGTCAAACATCATGCATGTATAGGACTAGATGGTTTATGGATGAGAAAGCTACACGAAGACAGCAGCTGTGAAGTTTCTAGTACTAGCTAGTTGTTGGTTGAGGTTTTTTTTTTTAAGCAGTTGTTGGTTGAGTCAGCGAACTTGAAGTTTACCACTGCAAGAAGCAAGTTGCTGGGGTGAACATGCAGCAAAATTGATTTTTACAGGTTGCTTAGCTAGCAAGTAGGAGAACGTGAGCTGTGTACTATTAGGTCGGTTCCTGTAGCAACTGACCTGAAAGTCCTATAAAAGAGGCAGCAATGCTCCTGCGTAGAAGTGAGTTTGAGAGATATAGAGAAGATAGAGACTGGTTATGAAGATCAAGCTAGTGTATGGTGTATAGTAAGCAAGTGTGTAGTGTGATAGTAGAGCTTGATTGTGAAGATCAAGAAATGTGTGTAAGCTAGTAGTGTGAAGTTATAAGATCAATATAGTACAAACTCGTGTTACCAGCTGCTTATGTTATTGTGTTACTAGAAACAAAGTGATTTTTGTTTTCAACATTAGCAAATTCAAAGTTTCTTAATTAAGCTCAAGAAAAATGGTCTCATCTGAGTTCCACTGTATAGAGAAAAATGTTTCAGATGTAGTTCGATTTCTTATTGAAGGAACTCACATCTGAAAGTTGACAGGACCTTGGCAGCTCAGCAAACGCAAATACTGAACCTTGTGGCTTGAAGCTGATTTTGAAGCCGAAGTCTTTCAGCAACTGAAGGATGAAGTCTCTTTTCACCTCATAGTCCTAGCCAAAGTCATCACAATTGCAAGGTAAGACAGCTCAATCTCAAGAAGCATGATTAGCACTAGGGCTCACTTTTTTCAGGGATGTGTAGTAGCCTGCTGTGCTTGTTAATGCAATCAATGCAGCTTCTTGGAATGGCGCAGGAGCTGAATCTGTTAGTTTAATGTGGATATTTCTAATAGCTGAGGCGATGCTTGCTGCTGCACAAGCCCAACCGAGTCTCCAACCTAGTCAGTCCAGACAGTTAATTTGTGAAGTGTCATCTAACAAGTCACAAAAGGTTGCTATTTCTATTGTTGGTTGTGTCACAACAAACTGCGCAGCAAATTCCGAGTTGTGCTCACCAGTTACACTGTAAGTTTTTGACAGTGAGGATGTGATGATGGTCCTCTCTTGCATCCCTGGAAGAGAAGCCAGTGAGATATGCTTGTTCGCATCATAAGTAATATACTCATAAACCTGCAAGATATTCACACATATTGAGACAAGAGATAGACAGATTTTATGAAAATTTGCTTTGGAAAAATATGTATAAAAAAGCCCACAAATTTTCAGTATGTGTGGGGATAATAACAATCCATATTGCTCATCACAGATGTACCTCATCAGTTATCGCAAAGCAGTCCATTTTCTGACAAGCCTGGGAAATAATAAGCAACTCCTCTTTGCTGAAGACCTTCCCTGTTGGATTGTGTGGGCTGCAAGTGTGATTTGGTCGTTTCACAAGTTAAAAAAATGTTATGCACAAACATATCCACACGGCAGGTAACAGCATGAATCAAACAATGATCTGTTCAAGACCACTGCCTTAGTCCGACTTGTAAAAGATTTCAGAAAATTGTCTTCGTTCAGAGTCCAAGAAGGTGGGTCCAATGGCACATAGACCTAAATAAACAACGGAGACTGAATTCTGATTCTGAATTATCAAGCTTGCTACAAACAAAACAAAACTGGATTCTGAACTAGAAAAATGATCTTACAGGAATGCCACGAGCTAGCTCAATGCATGTCTCATACGTTTCATAAGCAGGGTCGAAGAGCAAAACTTCATCTCCTTGGTCGATTACTGCATGGAAGGGGAAGGAAATGCATATCGATCAGTAAGAATGCCCGCAAGGTTCTGAAACTAGCATAATTCAGTCGAATGCCCGCTAGTCTGTACTCTACTACAGTACTTGCAAAGATAGCCGCAGCGAATGCTTCGGATTGGCCGCAGCAGATGACGAAGTCCGTGAGTGGGTCGACGTCGAGGCCATGGTCCCGTTTCATCGTCTTGGCGAGGATGTCGCAGATCCCCTGCACATGCCTACGCGCCGCTGCAGTCAGTCGCGGCGGAGTCGAAGTGGAAACGGAAGTGGAACGGGAACATTTCCCCCCGACCGCGCGACTGCGCGAGAGGACAGAGGAGGAGAAGGAGGAGGAGGTGTCGTGGCGAAGGAAACCTGTACTGGTTGAGGTCCGCGGCGATGGCGGCGGCAGCGGCGGCCTTGACGTGGGGCGGCGCGGGGAAGTCGGGGAAGCCCGCGGCGAGGTTGACGGCGCCGACGCGCTGCGCCAGGTGGGACAGCTGCTGGATGGGCGACGGCGCCGACCGCTTGGACACCGCCGACAGCCTCCGCTCCATGGCGCCGCCGCTTTGCCGCTGCTTGTTAGCGCCCGTGTTCGTGTGGGTGTCCGGATAAGGTGAGCTCAGATACTAGCTGCGTTCTATTGCTGTCACGCTCACGCGCCCGATCCGGAGCAGCGGGGTTTTGCTTTTTTTTGCATTGCTGCCCTGGCCGTGTCCGTGTACTGGAGTACGTACATGGGAGCGCCGCCGTCACGTGACGCGTCATCTGATCGGCATCTGCAGCTGCAGAGCTGCGACGCAGACGACGGCAACGCAGGGGAAAACAGACAGGAGGCCGGCTGGATGGCGGCTGCAATTCTGCAAAGGGCAAAGGGCGGCGTCTTGTGCGTGCTAGGCTGCTAGGAAGACGATCGGCTGGAACACAAATTCATTTGGAGACGAAATGAAACCAGTTGGAGTATCTCTGCTTGCCCAATTATATATGTAGATCTATCAAGTCGACTGAACTGAACTAACTGGTTGAGCTCGTCCGACAGAGAGCGCTGCGTTGATTCTTCCATGCTCCTCGAATTTGATAGATACTGTACACGAATATCGTAGAAACAGAAAAAAAAAACACAGAAAACAGATAAAATTCGCACATCGGTAATGCCCTGTCCAGGACGTCCGTCCGACAGCCCCGGTGGGCCACGATGCCACCACGAGGCTTTCTTATCCGCTCCTCTTCGTCCACCACGAGGCTTTCTTATCCGCTCCTCTTCGTCCACCGTAATTTCTTAAAAAAAATATCACCACAGCACCGCGAGTATGTGATTGCGCTCTGCGACCGCGCCTCCCGCCCGCCTTCCTCTCCGCCACCACGCCCAGCCACATCCCTTGCAGCTCTGCGCCCCGCTCCATGCCCCTATCCACCTTGCCCGTCGCAGGAGAGGCAGGGGAGGCCTACGCCTGCACCCCATCCAGCGTGTCCGTCGATGGGAAGGGGAGGCCTGTGGCACGCCCCCTGAGTGTCTGTTGGACCGTTGCTCTCGACGCCACCCCCTTAATCCTAGCTGGCGCCACTGGAGTTCCCACTAATTAGGCTGTGGCCACCGGCGACGCTATGTTTCAAGTGTTTCACGTGTTTCAGACTTATGTTTTATGTGTTTTATCTGGATGTTGTAAAAGTAGATCTGGGATGTTTCATATGTTGCAATGATAATATACGCATGTTTCAAGCATATGTTCAAAGTATTTCAGTTACTTCAGACACATGTTTTAAATGTTTTTATCTAGATGTTGCATATGTTTGCTATGGCTGCACATGCATGCTTCAAGTGTTTGTTTTTACGTGTTTCGGATGTTCCGGACTTATGTTGCAAAAGTGGATGTGGATGTTGCATATGTTGCTATACACACATGTTTCAAGAGCATATTTTAAATGTTTCATCTGTTTCAGTTGTATGTTGCAAATGTTTCATATTTAAGTTTTAAAAATTGATTGGGTGTTGCACATGTTGCAATGCGCGCTAGTGGCTGGCGGACAGCGGTCTGCCGCAGCCGCCTGGTGAACTGGGGCGCCGCCGTGGTTCACGTGTGGGCGAGGGATGGGCGCGACAGGCCTGGTGCTGCTGGCGGGGCGCCGTCGTGGTTCACGCGCGGACGCGGGGGCGCTGTTTCAGACGCTGGCGCGCGATGCGGGGGCCGCGGGGCGCGGGGCGTGGGATGCAATATGGGCGGGCGTCGGGTGCAGGCGCGGTGCTTCGTCCGGACGGACGCTGGCTCGAGAGCGGGATTTGGTGCGGGGTGAAGGGAGTTGCATACGTCGCACGGGGGTGTGGGAGCTGCGTCCGGACGGACGCCGTATTCCGGACGTCCGGACGCTAGTCGTCCTGTTCTCACATTGCAAAGAAAGTCTAAGTGTGCACGAATATCGTAGAAATGGAAAAAACACAGAAAATAGATCACATTGCAAAGGAAGTCTAAGTTTTTTCTTTAGGTACCAGCATTCCTAAGATTTACCTTAAGTCAAACATTTCTAACTTGTTTTTATCACTATGGTCCATTTTTAACGACATGTACAAAAACAAGCTTATCCAAACACAGGCAGCCTCACACAGAAACACGACTGGAGAAACACAGGCAGCCTCTAGCGTTGGGCCGCGTCGCGCGAGGGAGGCGGGGATCTGTCCGTAGAGCTTGGTCGACGAGCTCCGGCCACCGTCATAGAAGCTGCGAACGGGGAAGAAGACAGACAGTTATGGTAGGCCCCAGGCTATTGGGAGAGATGCAACTCTTCTTTTATCTAAGGAAAGGTGGGAGGATTTTTTTAATAAAAAAGAGCTATTGGAGAGCTGTAGGAGCAATGAAATTATCTTATCTCACCTAATATAACAGATTTATGAGGACGAGGGATAGTATTAGAGAGCTATGGTGATGCTCTGACCACCGTTGATCGGTTTTCCATATTCTGGAGGCTCTCGTGATCTCGTCCGGCGTCGGCCTTCCTGCTGGGCAGTGGGCACCATCGCGCACACAACAGCGCCCGGTTCCACGGTTCGCGGGGCAGTTTTTGCTTTGGCAGCCTACATTGCCCGTGCGCCGCGAGCTGCCAGTCTCGTCAGCCTAACACACCGGCGAGGAATGGACGTCGCGCAACCACAGAGCTGGGCGATCGGATCCGTGGGGGCGTTGCGTCCTTGCGTTCCGATCCGATAGGACTGCGCGATCGAGTCGCTCAGCTGAGTAGCTGTCTGATCTGCTTCATGTTCGCGAACGTTTACGTGGCTTATAAGCCGGCTGATGCTGTTTTATTGTGAGAAAAAAAACACTGTATTCAAGCGAACAAGGTGAGTTTGCCCTTCCGAATATTGCGTTTTTGCCCCTATTTCAAACCCCAATTGTGATTTTACCCCCACTTTCTTTCACTTTGTGTTTTTACCTCTACTTTTTCAAAACGAAGGCTCTGTTTACCTCAATTCTTAACTCAGTTATCTACATCCGGATCAAAGCAATTAAAAATTAACAAAAGCCCTATGAAAAGACAAACTTACCCCTTATCTCTCGGTGCAACTCTCTCGTGGTCGCCCTCTCAACGCTTAGCAGAGCGCTGTTTCGTTCGAGGCCTTCCGGGCGGCAATCTTAAAAATTCATTCATGACTGACTCGGGCAGCTTTGCCTGGGCTTAAATCAAAGTGCAACTGCAAAGCAAAGAGGCGTTCGAGGCCTTCCGGCGGCAATCTTAAAATTCATTCATGACCCTTTGCAATTAAATCAAAGATTTTCTTGCTCTTATTTTGAACCCTAATTATGATTTTATTCATATTTTCTTTCACTTTGTGTTTTTACTCCTGCTTTTCTAAAACGAACGTTCAATTTACTCCTACTCCGTGAACAGCAGCTAACGGTGTTAAAAAAGTTGAAAAATGACGAGTTTGCCCTTCCGAATATTGCGTTTTTGCCCCTATTTCAAACCCCAATTGTGATTTTACCCCCACTTTCTTTCACTTTGTGTTTTTACCCTTACTTTTTCAAAACGAAGGCTCTGTTTACCCCAATTCTTAACTCAGTTATCTACATCCGGATCAAAGCAATTAAAAATTAACAAAAGCCCTATGAAAAGACAAACTTACCCTTATCTCTCGGTTGCCTCTCTCTGGTCGTCCCTCTCAACGCTAGCAGTGTAGCGGCGGGCGGTGGTGTCGGCGGCGGCGTGGCAATGAAGAGCGTCGGGCGTCGTCAGGCGGCGCGGGCGGCGCGGCGTCTGACCAAGTGAGAGGAAGCGGCCTGGTGGCGCTGCTGCTTAGCTCGACGTATGCGCGCAGCCAGCACACAGCTCTGCTTACCCGCGCGCTTGCAAGCAACAACGGCGTCGTGTGCCGCGTCTCGAAAGCAGTCGACCATGGAGTGTGCTGAGTGATAGAGTCCACTTAATGTCGATGCACGCATAGGTGACGGCGGTGGACTGGGCGTGGTGGATCGGCCTCCTCCTCGGCGACGTTCCGCTGCTCGCACTCGTTGTGTGGCACAGCAACGACGTCTGCCACTGCGCCTTCTTCGCGTTGAAGCGTTGGCGCCGTCGTGCGAGGCTCCCGCCGGGCCACATGGGCCTCCCATTTGTGGGCGAGAGCCTCTGGTTGCTCTGGTACTACAAGCTCGCGCGCCGCCCCGACGGCTTTGTCCACGCCAGGAGGAGGCGCTACTACGCCGGGGGCCGCGCGGGCGCCGGGCGTGTACCGGACGCACCTCTTTGGCTCGCCGACCGTCCTTGTCTGCTCGCCGGCGGCCAACAAGTTCGTCCTCAAGTCCTCCCAGGACGGCACCTTCGGCATCCGCTGGGCCGCGCCGGAGCTCGTGGGCCTCTTCTGCGTGGTCAACGTCAAGGGCAGCCAGCACGCCAGGCTCCGTGGGTTCATCCTCGCAGCCATCAACCGCCCCGGCTCGCTTCGGGCCATCGCCGAGGTCGTCCAGCCGCGTCTCGTGGCGGCGCTGCGGTCGTGGGCGGACAGGGGCACCATCTCCGCCGTCACTGAGATAAAAAAAGCACGCATGCATGCTCCTTAATTAGCTATATATTCCGGCGCACAGTGATGCATGCTAATGCATTTATTTGAAGACATAAATCGAATAACTAACGCATGCGCTTGCAGGTGACGTTCGAGAACATATGCAAGATGTTCGTGAGCAGGGATCCGTCGCCTCTCACCGACAAGATCTCCATGGTCGTTTGCTTTCACGAGACGCTGGCTTTCGCGACGCCGCCAAATAACGCGCTACCGCCAAGCGAAACCTCATGCACGGGTCACGTGCCCACGTCAGAGCTAAGCCGCGACGCGCAAGGCCGCTTCCTCCGCTGGCACGCACGCGCGCGCTGACGGCCGACGACACACGCTTCTTCCGCCACCACCCACCAAGACTCAAAACCGCCCACCATTGCACCGCTAGCGTTGAGAGGGACAACCCTGAGAGAGACGACCGAGAGATAAGAGGTAAGTTTGTCTTTTCATAGGGCTTTTGTTAATTTTTAATTGCTTTAATCCGGATGTAGATAACTGAGTTAAGAATTAGGGTAAACGGAGCCTTTGTTTTGGAAAAGTAGGGGTAAAAATATAAAGTGAAAGAAAGTGGGGGTAAAATCACAATTGGGGTTTGAAATAGGGACAAAAACGTAATATTCGGAAGGGCAAACTCATCATCTTTCAACTTTTTTAACACCGTTACCCGCTGTTCACGGAGTAGAGGTAAACTGAACCTTCGTTTTGGAAAAACAAGAGTAAAAACCCAAAGTGAAAGAAAATAAAGGTAAAATCACAATTGAGGTTCAAAATAGGGGCAAAAACGCAATAGCCCATTTGAATCAAACATGTCCCAGATCACGGACTCACGGTATCACGCAAAACCCCTGTGCACCCGCAGCCATCACTCCGCCGAGTACGTAAGGGCGTATTTGGTTCACCTGACGAACAGGACATTTGTTTTCCAGTTTTGCGCCCTGTTATGTTACAGTGTTTCTCTTACAACAAAACTCACAGAAACCATCAACCGATCGGGGTGTTGGTTTCTTTCTGCTTCTCTTCATCTCTCATAGATCAGTTCGACGGCTGAGACCTTTTACATATGTTCAGTTCCTTCTATATGAAAATGAAATGCAACGGAAGAACACCTGCTACATTGCGCTAAAAGAAACATCTGGATTACAGAACATGCACCTACCCACAGGTTTCAGCATCAACCACACGACCACATGTAAACAGTGTTACAAAGGAAAAGTATTTTCTAGCATCACACTCACTCGTACGGTACGACCATACAAGGACAAGTAATGAAAGATCACACCAGCTGGATGGGCAAAAATACTGGGCAGACCAAAGAAGGGGTGGAAAGAATGAACCATCTCCCCCCAGAAAAGAAGGGGGAACGAGACGACCAGTCCGCGACCTACCATGTTTTCGCTCATGCCTTCTTCGTCACCTGCAGAACCGAAACCAAACAAATCCGCCTCCCCAACCACACCGCCTATTAAAGCGCCCAAGATGCTGCCATGGCCTCGCCGTACAAGAAAATCACAGCAGCAGTACAGCACTAGAAACAGAAAGGTAGACCAAGGCGCACCAGTGCAGTGACTATGACGACGGGCAGTGGCAGCACGGGCGCCAATGGCAGGAGCCAGAGCTCCAGGGGCAAGGCGATGCTGCTCGCGCTGGGCAAGGGCTTCCCTGACCAAGTTCTGCCTCAGGAGAAGGTTGTGGAGAGCTACCTCCAAGACAGCAGCTGCGACGATCCCGCCACCAGGGCCAAGCTTGAGCGCCTTTGTAAGCTTCCTTGTTTCATCACACTTGCTGTTTTTGTAAATTGGTTTTATCTTTAGAAAAAAGTCAAAATTACCCCCTCTAAGTTTGGCCTATGTCCAAATAACCCCTTAAACTAACATTTGGTTGAATTTACTCCCTCCAACTATTTTAGTTGGTCCAATTTACACCTTAAAAAGATTTTTCTTTTTTTGTTTCTCTATGTACAAATTGTGTTTTAGTTTCAAATTTTGTGTGGTGATAGAGGGCATCATAGTTTGTGTTAGAAAAATATATCATGAATTTTCCATCATTATATTTAGTATGATACTGTATCTCTAGTATTATTGTTATTAAATTTCCTAAGCTATCAAAATAGTGGCAGAAAATAATATAGTTTTTTTTTCTAATATAACTCATAATGTCCTCTATCATATCACAAAATTTGATATTAAAACTCAACATATACGTGAAGAAACAAAAATAACAAATCTTGTTAAGGGGTAAACTGGACTAACTCAAATAGTTAAGGTAGTAAATTGAATCAAATATTAGTTTAGGGGGGGTTATCTGGACCAATGTCAAAGTTAAGGGGAATAATTTGGACTTTTTCCTTATCTTTACGTTGAGAATTTTAAGTTGATTGACAAATGCAGCTTAGCTCTAGTCATAAAGATCTATGGTCTAAACAACAACATCCAGTTGTCACAGGATCATGATTTTTTAATATCACCTGATCATATAAGTGTCAATTGCAAAGTGGAAAATGGAACTAGCACGAAGAAAAATACAGTACAATTCCTTATAGAAGGAGAAAAAAAAACACAGGCACACAAATTCAGTGAACTGTTGCTCTAAAACAATCGCTATGATGCTGATTTAGTTCACTTTTTGCATCCTGTTTAGGGCTGCCTGGCTCACTGAATAAGAACTATAAGATCACCATATACAGCCTTCAGTATCTATGTGATGATTTGATTTGCCTCCGATAAACATATGAGTATTGCCCAAATGATTTTATTTTCCAGGCACGACCACTACAGTGAGGACAAGGTACACTGTTATGTCCAAGGAGCTACTTGATAAGCACCCAGAGCTGAAGATGGAGGGTACTCCAACACTGACACCCCGCCTTGACATCTGCAATGCCGCGGTGATCGACCTTGGTGCTGCTGCAGCTCGTGCTGCCCTCGACGATTGGGGCCGCCCTGCAGCTGATATTACCCACCTCATCTACATCTCATCCAGTGAGCTTCGTCTCCCAGGGGGAGACCTTCACCTGGCTGCCCGCCTTGGCCTTAGCCCAAACACCGTGCGCACTTCCCTTCTCTTCCTTGGCTGCTCCGGTGGTGCTGCTGCCCTCCGCACTGCCAAGGACATTGCTGAGAACAACCCAGGGAGCCGTGTCTTAGTAACAGCTGCTGAGACCACTGTGCTAGGCTTCCGGCCACCAAGTTATGACCGTCCTTATGACCTTGTTGGTGCTGCCTTGTTTGGTGATGGTGCCTCAGCTGTGATTATAGGAGCAGGCCCCATGGCACCAGCAGAAGATCCTTTCTTAGAGCTTGAGTTCTCCACGCAGGAGTTCCTACCTGGGACTGATAAGGTAATTGATGGCAAGATCGCAGAGGAAGGAATTAATTTTAAACTAGGGCGTGATTTGCCTGAGAAGATTGAAGGCCGCATAGAAGGTTTCTGCAGGACTCTCATGAACCAGGTAGGGATAAAGGATTTCAATGATGTATTTTGGGCTGTGCATCCTGGTGGACCAGCAATATTGAACAGGCTTGAGTTCTGCCTTGAACTTCAGCCAGAGAAGCTCAAGATTAGCAGAAAAGCCTTGAAGAACTATGGAAACGTGAGCAGCAATACAATCTTCTATGTGCTGGAGTACTTGAGGGATGAGTTAAAGAAAGGGGCAATAAGTGAAGAGTGGGGATTGATCTTGGCTTTTGGCCCAGGCATCACCTTTGAAGGACTGCTAGTCCGAGGTGTTAAGAAAACCTTCACAAGCTAATATAATGGAGGGAAGATTTACATGGCAAGCATGAAGACTAATTATATATACACAGAAACATCGCATAAAGAGCATAGATGTCTTGGTGGCAGCTGTGCACCACATAGTACATCGCTAGCATTTTACTGTATTTATGTGTTTCTCTATCAAACAGTGTAAGGTACTTGAGTTTGCTTCCTAGGCATTGTAGAAATAAGGCACTATACAGCCTGTTGTTCCACTGTACTATGCACTGATTGCAGGATTACTTCAATACTGATTGTATGCATGAGTGTACTAATTACAGAGCAACTATCATACTCTCAAAGGAAAAGCAGAGTAATTATGTGATGTGGCATCAAACACACATTACAACAAAAACATGTTACAATGATAGATAGTAGATGTATCATCTATCATGATCTCCTAAGCACTTCGACAAATGTTAAACTTTAACATCATTTCAAGTATTATTGAAAGACACAAAATTGAGCAAGTTCTTACAGTAAAGGGGGCATCCATTACATCCTGATCTAACCACGGACCTTGCGAAATACAGTCCAGCGACAACAAGAAGGCAACATTGGATCCCACATTGAAAGCCTATCTTCTTCGCCATCATCATTCAAAGTCCAAAATGCATGAATCAATCAGACGTAATGCAGATGCCTCTAGCAAATCATGGATTCGAATTTGACGGTCCCTCTTCGAAAGAAAGTTCACCAACAACCTTCCCCCAAGCAAGTTTAGCATCGCCTTTCACAAGAAACTCCATCTTGGCAACAACATCCTTGGCCTCTGTTGACCTGCCTGCCTTCACCAAACCCTCGACCAAACCCTTAACAGCCTCAAACGCTGGTGCTGCCTTCATTGCAAAGCAGCTCTTACAAATCCACAACGCATCATCAAGCTTCCCTTTCTCAACCAAACTCCTAAACAGCACCACATATACCTGCGAATGCGCGGAAACACCCAAGTCACTTCTTCCCTCCCGCCTCTTCATCACCTTCATCCTCTTGAACACACGCATCGCTGCCCCGACATTTCCCTCCTTGCAGTAACCCTGCACGAGAGCATTGTAGGTAAGGTAATTCGGCGCTACCCCCTTTGATTCCATCACATCAAGCAGCTCCTCCCCCTTGACTGTCTCGCCTTTCTTGGAGAACCACTGTATCCGGCAGTTGTAGGTGACAACATTTGGCTCCAGGTTGCTCAAGCTGATCTCCTTCAAAACCTTCTCAAACCCCTCCTCATCGTCCTGCACGGAGTAACCGGCAAGGACAGTGTTGTAGGATATGATGTCTGGCACAGGGCGGTGCTTCAACTTCTTGTTGGCCATTTCGTCGAGCAGCTTCCGGGCAGCAGCTAGCTCAGAGTTCTTGACCAGCGCGTGGAGGAGCACATTGTGGGAGGCGCGGCCGGGCGCGACCCCGTGCGAGGACTCCGCCAGGGCAATGGTGGACTTGATGTCATCGAGGCGGCCAGCGCGGAGGAACGCCGAAAGGAGCGCCGAGAGGGAGACGTCGGAGCGGGCGGCGGGGGGAGACGAGGAGAAGGCCCGGAGCGCGTCGTCGGGTCCCGGGTAGAGGGAGAGCGCCCGCGCAAGGAGGCCCGGGGAGGGCGGGGCGGAGGCAAGGAGGAGGTCGAGGAGCGAGGCGGCGAGGTCGGGGCGGCGGAGGCGGGTCAGGCGCGAGGTGGCCAGTGAAAAGAGCTGGCGCGAGGTGTGGAGGCGCGGGAAGTCATCGCTGGAGAGCGCGGAGGCGACGAGGGAGTGGATGCGGGCTGGGTCAGACTCGGCGCGCACGGCGAGCTGGAGGTCGAGCACGGGGGCGCGGGCGGAGGTGGTGGTGGGCGCGGCCGGGGTAGGGGTTGCGGTGGAGGACGCCGAGGGATTGACGTCGGGGAGCGCGAAGAAGGCGCGGAGGAGGGGAGCGCAGGCCGCGGCGGCGGCGCGTGGGTGCGCAGCGTGGCGGCGGCGGAGGAGGAGGGACGCCATGGTGGGGAACCGGGGACTACGGTACGGGGTTTGGCAGGGTTTGGGCCTTAAGGGCCTATTTCCTTTTCTTCTTTCCTTTCTCACCCACACTGTAAATCTGTAATAAAGCCTGTTCGCTTATTAGTTTCAGCCAGGGCTTATCAGCCAGCCAACAGTATTTTTCTCTCACAACAAATTAGCATCAGTCGGGCTTATCAGCCCAGAAATCAACCAGCGAACAGGCTAAGTTAGGTCGTTAGGGTTTGGAACGGAAAGCGAGAGAAGGGAAAGCTGTTGTCGTCAATGATCAAATAGTAGTATCATAAAGCAGAAATTGCACTGAAATCATATATAAATTAATTATTTATATTTTTTTTTCATGAACACTCTTGGATAGCACGTATTTCATTAAGAGGAAAGAAATTTATTTTTCATATAAACCTTAGAGCCCTATTTAACTTAACTTGGCTCCAGTTGATTCTTGCTCTTTGTTACAGCATTTATAGAGGCTAAACAACCCGTTCGCTTGGTCGTAAACGATCGTGGATTATAAGCCAGAACCAGAGGCGGATCCAGGCCCCGGGCTGCCTGGGCTGTAGCCCGGGGCGAGGCCCAAGAACTGTAGGAACAAGTTTCATAAAAAACGCATAAAAAGCCAGACAACCCGATGTGAGGAAAGCCCGGTAACTTGTACCCTAGCCCTGGCGGTAAATGGACTCGTGGTGGCCTCTCCTTCTCACGTCTGCTGACGGCGAAGTCACTGATCGCTTTCGCCTCCGCATCCGCTCCCGCCCCCGCCTCCGGCCCCTGTGGCCTCGCCTCAGCCGCTTACTTCTTCCCGCACGATCGCCCACCTCCTCTTTCACCCGGCCCGCTGCCAGCAGGCCCCCCCCATTGCCAGACGATCGCCTCACTGTCATGGCAAGCACTCACCCATCGCATGGTGCCCGGCCAGGGCTAGCGCCTAGCCAGGCGACCACCGCCCGCCCCCGATGCTCCCCACTCTGAGTCTAGACTCTGCAGCAGCCAACATGTGTGAAATCATGATGTTTTAAATCTTGTAAGGCTCTTCATTTGGTACTTTTCTAGCCTCAATGTTCTACGTATTGTTTGAGCCCAATGTTTGAGCTCTTTAAATCAATAATATCATTATTTGTCTTCTTTGAAACTATGATGTATCTAATGGTTCAGAGCTAGTAAAATTTTTAGTCTTATATTAGTTAGCCCGGCCACTGGCCAGAACAGTATTTCCTTTTACACCAAACCAGCCAGCAGTAATAATCCATGATCGTATACGATCGTATCAGCACAAGCCGAACAGGGAAAGATGGTGAAGCAAAAATTAGTGATTTCACCATCTCCTAGTTTATTGAGGAGAAAGAAAAGCGATAAGGAACGAGAGCCGAAGCTGCCCAGAGTTCCACCAAACTTTTTTGAGTAGAAGTTGACAAATCTTTGTTTCAAACTGCACATGACGATTTGATTTTGTTTTTTGTTTTAGTAAAGTTTTTGGGTTTGAAGTTTGAAAGAGAGATGATAGGCTGAGGCCTGGCGTCTGGGAGACGCAACTTGGTCCGTTACTGCACTAGACATACTTTGTTTCTTCAGTCGAAATGTTGAGATGTTCCACAGTCAAATGAGTTACAAGAGAACGCTGCAAGTAGATCGCAACCTGAATACAGAAAAACATAGATCCCATAACAAGATACCCAGGGTCCAGAAGCTGGCAACGGCGTGGGAGAAAAAAATGTAACTCGTCAAGTGCAAGGTCAACTCATATTGCAACAATATATGATCTGCTCCAGAACGGGAAATAGATTTGCAAGGCAAAACCTCCTATAACATGGAAACTCTCAGTATCGAAAGTGGCAGTGAGTCAGTGACTATTCAATGTTACAGATGAGTGTAAGCAGGCCCTTAACTATCAACAGTAAGAAATATAGGAGTAGCAACTAGGAAGTACAAGCGGCTGTTACTACAACTACAAGCTACCTCCGCCTAGGTGGATCAGAGGACCTAGGTTGTTTCCCATCTGTATCGGACTTGTCCTTCTCTGTCTGATTGCCTGAGTTTCCTCGTCAAGTCATCAGCATAGCGCCGCCAAATAGACTCCCTGTCTTTACTCGCCAGTTTGTTGTACCTTACATCAGATCTTAGAAGACCTTTTGCTTCACTCCAAGAGTTGATTGCCGTCTTCCCCTCATCTGTTGTCCGTGCAGCTACCTCTGGAGTGATAACCTCAGATAGAAGTGCCCGGAAATCACGTACACACCGCTGAGGGAAGTCAAAGGGTCAAAATGGTAAGCATCCAGGAAGAATTGTGAAATGCATTACAATGAAGATCCTACAGCAGCTGCTTAATGAGTTATTTATAAGTACCAAGACTACTCAAGCATTCAAGGCTACAATGTCAAACAAAAACATGCAATCAAATTCATGCGTACTGCCTATTGAGTATGTGCCAATAGCAACACAAAAGTCACTGTAAATTTGAATATTTGTTGAATATTTGCCTTTAGCTGATTTATTGACAAAAGTAGCCGGTTGTTTTTGCTGATGTGTAGACACAGGTTGTGTGCCTAGTGCCCAGGCAGTGGCTGTGTCCACAAGACCAAAGACCACAAGTAAGGCTTTAACAGCTAAAATGTGTGCATAACAAAAAACAATTTAGTGCCTAAAGGAATTGGTTGGAACAGAACAGAAACCACAAAGCAAAATCTCAATGACAATGCAAACCTCAGGGAACAAACAGCCACGGTAAGAGAGTAATTTCAAATTCTTAGTTCAGTAGCTACAGGCATTTATAACATTTGGGTTTACCTCATATAGGTCCTTGACATGGTCACGAAACAACTTTTCTGCATCACCTTGGCCTAAGTCAGGATTTCGAGCACGACCTTGCGGATCTTTTTCAAGTTTCGGTTTGGATTCAGTCCATGATGCCTACAGAAAAAAATGTAAATTGTTAAATTGTACAATGCATAATTACCAACTTGCCAATGTGAAGTTAAATATAGCAGGTACAGCAAAACAATGTCAGTTAAAGCCAGGAAAAAAAGAATAAACTAGGTTCAAAAATTAATGCAAGCAAACAAGACCAGAGAAGTGACGACCCATCCTAGCTACAGCAGCATACTACATAGTTCTCACCAGTAACAGGTGATGATTTTGGGAGAGATCCAGCATTCACATTTCCAAAAACAAACACACCACCAGAAACCAGCTAACGCCTGTTCATATTATTATTCCTTTCAAGCAGAACTATGGATTCATAGGTCTCAGGAAAAGGTAGGGCTTTATGGTTGGCAACCAATCTCTCTTTCTCTCTCTCCATACAACTCTCGTAGCTTTTCTTTTTTTCCAATGCCAATTCCAACTGGCTAGTCACGTCGAAATTTGCTTTCGATTGGACACAACACTAAGCAAGTATCTCCTATATTATGAAATGACACTCGTTCATCTAGTAGCAACTGGCCAACTGAAGCCAGTCATAGCAAAGAAACTCACCAATGGAGGGAACTATAAATGGAATGCCAATCTTTTGTCGAACAATGAAAGACAGTCAATAAGTGCTTCATTAACAGATACTGAGAATTTGAAGAATGCTCAGTTAAAGAATTTAACATGCAACTCAAATCACCTTGGGATCCTTTATCATTTCAACAAGTAAAGCTTGGTATGATGACACAGCCTCTTTTCTACGGATCTTCATTTTTACTCTTTCCATTTCCTGTTCTTCTCTTTCTTTCCTTTTACGTGTTTCACGTTCCCTCTCCTTTAACTTGGCCTGGATATATACCAAAGTACATGTAAATCTATATCTATACATAGTAAATAAAGGAATAAAGTTTATCAGTTAAGTTGACCAACTTGCTCATCCACTTTGGCCTTGGCAGCTTGTTCTGCTTCCTGTTCAGCAGATTTCAGTTCCACTATGTATTCATTAAATATAGTCTCCCTTTCTTCATGCTTCATGGCTTTGTACCTTGGATCACTGCGGAAATTTTCTTTCACCTACATGATTCGGAGTATGAACATGAACATTGATTCATGAACAGAAAAATAACTCAAAACTTACATCGAACAATATCGGTACATTATTATTACTATTAGTGATTCCCTTTAAAAAAGGCATTTAACTAGATGTTGCAAATAACCACAAGTTATAGATTTATTTATGACATGCTAAATGGGAGGAGCTGTTTCAGGGCCACGACTGGCCCATGACTGTAAAACTTACTGATATAAAGAGCATTCATAAATGTGAACATCAGGAATTCAGGATGACAAGATCAGACCTCATGTAACTCAGACAAAACTATCATACCAAAACAGGCGACATACTTTTTTAGTGAAGTTATTCAGATGATAGATTGATAACAGGACCTTGAGAACAGATATACTAACAGTCACCAGTAGATCAGTGTATGCTAGTTACTGGACAGAACACCTCCCTAGGTTAAAGGCAGCTGTTGACTTGGTACGTCAGTCTAAGAAGAATTCAGTTAATTTTCAAGTTATGCACACAAATGTCAAGTTCAGGACTTAACTTGGATCTCAAAAGATTATGTGTTAATCCCTGCTAACAGGAATAGAAGATAAAAGAACCGAAAGCTGATAACGTGCATCAATGGAATCACACAGCTATAAGATTATAATCTGCTAGTGTCGATATGTGATGGGTCAGATGGATTGGTTGCATCGAAATTACATGAATAAATTTAGGATGCAATCCTAAGAGCAAGGAGTGCAATGTATACAAAGAATTACCTTTGGAGTTTGGATAGTAGCATGTATGTGGAAATTAACAACCCACATGCCAGAACCATAAGCTAGACTTTGATTTATTTACTTCTATATTATAAATAAATAGTATTAAATTACTGTGATTAGTTTAATACTACAGTTTTTTGCAACATGGCTCTTGTTGAGTTTCATCTCTAGGCTCTAGCCTACCCCAACTTCCTTGGTACTAAAGGCTTTGTTATTGCAGTAGCTATGTTCAGTGAAATGAGACAAAA